CGGTGTATATAGATGTTTATATATAAAGAAATTATAGAGACCTAACTAAATTCCCTAAGTACTAGAAAAGGAATTTGCTGAGGAGCCTGAATAAAAAACAAATCAGGTACATAAAACTAACAGATATTATACGCACGGCATACATTGAAAGGAAATAATACTTCAAACACAATAGTAAATACGTATACAACCTCATAATAAAAAGCTAATATGCTAATGGTCATCACACTGTGACACCTTAATGACCAATCAGCAGGGACCTGAGGCTGCAATGGTGCCGGGCCGGAGAGGGGTACTTGAGGCCACACCTCCCACCTGGTGGGGCTTGACAGGGACCCGAGGCTTCAGCCCTGCCCAGTGGGGCTTGACCAGGGTGGGGCTGGCTGGGTCTCAATCTGGCATGATTTCAAGGCAGGTGGGGACTTGACTCTAGGTCCCACAGTGTGCCCCAGACTCTGACAGGAAGAATATTTTCATATGCATTTTACTAATTTTCTTTCATCTCTGACATTTCTATTATAGAGAAAGGACAAATAGCAATATTAAAATATTTCCTCTGCCGAAACCAATTTGGCTCAGTGGATAGAGCATCAGCCTGTGGACTGAAAGGCCCCAGGTTTGATTCCGGTCAAGGGCATGTACCTTGGTTGTGGGCTTATCTCCAGTGTGGACACCCCAGGAGGCAGCTGATCAATGTTTCTCTCTCATCAATGTTTCTAGCTCTCTATCCCTCTACCTTCCTCTCTGTAAAAAATCAATAAATTATATTAAAAAATATTTCCTCTAATTAATTCCCTTATAATATGCATGAATTTCATGCACCAGACCACTAGTATACTTATAAACCTCTAAAAGTTATGAACCTATAGGAAAGAAACTATAATGTCTTATTGAATGAAATAAAACAAGATCTAAATAAATGGAAATATAGAAGGTACCTCCAATTAGGAAAACATAGCAATTTAAAAATGTCAATCCTTCTGACATTTGTAATCACATTAAAACTGGCTATAGTAATTCATTAATTTATATGACAGAACAAATATCTAAGTCAAGCAAATAAAAGTATCACAAGAGTAGATTAAGACTTAATAGGTCTAAATATTAAAAATCATTAAGATTAAAAGAATGTAGAAAAATATTTTCAGCACACATGTCTAAGGCTTAATATATCTGATATATAAAGAGTCCAGTCTGTTTACAAAATATGACATATAACCCTAAAGAAAATGGACCTGAACAGTCACTTAGAGAAAAGGAAATTAAAATGTCCAACAAATACATGAATACATACAAATTATAACACCAATGAGGAAGCCGAAACCAGTTTTCTCAGAGGATAGAACTTTGGCCTGTGGTCTGAAGGCTCCCAGATTTGATTCTGGTCAAGGGCATGTACCTTGGTTGCGGGCACAACCCCAGTGTGTGTGTGTTGGGTGTGTGTGTGTGTGTGCGCGCAGGAGTCAGATGATCGACGTTTCTCTCTCATAGATATTTCTAACTCTCTATCCCTCTCCCTTCATCTCTGTAAAAAATCAATAAAATATATTTTAAAAAGTCAATGAGGAAACCCTTATCATCCATTAGATTGGCAAAAATGATTTCATAAGGACAATGCAGCAAGGGGGAAGATTCAGAGAAGTAGTAGGCATTCATTGCTGTTGTGAACATAAATTGTTGTAGCTGGTCCTATACAAAAGTGAAAATAATAACTCTTTTCATTTCTTATTTTATTTTATTTTTTTGTTAATTCTCACCCAAGGACATTTTCCCATTGATATTTAGAGAGTGGACTGGGGGACAGGGGTGAGACAGAGAAAAACACCCATGTGAGAGAGACATATAGATTAATTGCCTCCTGCTCGTGCCCCGACCAGAGACAGGATCAAGCCTGCAACTGAGGTACATGACCTTGATCAGAATCTAACCTTCAGGCTACTGGCTGACACTCTATCCACTGAGCCAAACCTGCTAGAGCTCTCCTACATATTTTTTTAAAAAGTGTCATTGCCCTAGTTGGCTTGGCTCCAGAGCATGTACCTCGGTTGTGGGCTCCACCCTGGTCTGGGTCCTGGTCAGGCACATGCAAGGGGCAACCAATCCATGTTCTTCTCTCACATCAATATTTCTTTCCATTTTCCCTCTCCCACTCTCTCTAAAAATCAATGGGAAAATATCCTCGGGTGAGAATATATATATATATATATATATATAAAATATTACTGACCAAAAATATATATTATATGTCTATATGATAAATATATATACATAATAAAATCTTTGTGACTTTGGGTTAGACAAAAAGATAGCTATAAAACCAAATGCTTGATAAATTAGAATAAAAAAATATTTGATCTTTTGTACTTTAAAAGACACCATTAAAATTAAGCTTAGCTTAATTTTGTGGTGCAGTAATTAAGCATCAACCTATGAACCAGTAAGTCATGGTTTGATTTCCGGTCAGGGCAGATGCCTGGGTTGCAGCTCGATCCCCGATTGTTCAGTAGGCAGCTAATCAATGATTCTCTCTAATCATTGATGTTTCCATCTCTCGCTCCCTCTCCCTTTTCTCTCTGAAATCAATAAAAAAAATTTTTTTTTTAAAAGAAAAAAAACAGTTACAAAGGAGAGAATGAGAATCTGGGCTTGGTCTAGGACAAGGACTTCTGTTGAGAGCAAGGAAGACAGATAAGCTTGTGATGGCCATGCAGGGCTGGAGTGAAGCACCCCAACATAGTCAGTTCCCGCCTTGGAATATGCAGTCAAGTTTTCAGGCCAAGAAGCTAAAGAAACCATGTCAAGTGTCACTGAAAAGCAGGGTAGAATTACCTGAAGCCTCACTATACAGAAATGGCAATGTCAATTATGATAAGGTCTAGAGAACACAGAGTTTTGTTGAAAGCTGTGAAATCACTTTGCCCCAAGGAAGCTGTATCAATTCTGGACACAGCTTGCGGCTGACTAACTGGACTTGATATAGGTAGTGGACTCTGGCTGGGGGATGAAGAAACTAACACAATCAACATTTTAAAAAATGTAGTAATAACAAGAAACCACAAGAACTATTAAAAATTAAATAATTGTCATAGAAGAAAGGTTTGAGATAACCCTTATGAAAAGAAAGTGAAATCCTAAAGCAATGATTTATTAGAGACAAATAAAGTTGTGAAGGTTAAAATTGCACCAATGGAAGAAAAGTTTTGCCCCCAAATTTAATATATACTTGTGTGTGAGTGTGTGTGTGTGTGTGTGTGTGTGTGTGTGTATGTTTGAAGATAGTAGTGAATAGAGTTTCCTTGAAGTAAAGGTAGAATTGAATCTGCCATCTTAAGAAAAAGAGAACTATGGTTAAAGACAGAAATCACCAGTAACTTTCTTCATCACTTTTATTTGTAATAACAAGGGTGCATCTATCTTATAAAATCAGTACTATAATAATTTTTTACTCTAAATTTCAAAGGTTTAATAAGATAGAAGTCACCAAAAGACAGTAAAAAGACAAGGAAGTATATTTATAAAGTTCAAACTACATAGCAAACTCTCCCATATCATTAGAGATAGGACAATCACCTCAACTGATTACATTGGCCAAAAATAAACCAGCAATGACAGACCAGGCAATTTCAATGGTCAAGAGACACAAAACCACGTTCAACTGCCCATGTATTCTGAGAATGCAAATGAATAGGATGCATCCCTTTATTTAGCACCTCTGTGAAGTCTGGGTGTGGAGAGATGGCTCATCAGCTAGTGGTAGGAGAATATAGTGGTTCAACCACTAGGAAGGAAATTTGATAGGATCTATAAACAATTAAATATTAGTACCCTTTGTCTAAACAATTTCACCTTTTGGTTTTTGACATAGGACAAACACTTGTACATATGCAAAAACATAAATATATAATTGTTATTTATTGCAGTTTTTTGGTAACAGTGAACAATGGGAAAGAACATAAATGATTTAAATATCAGTTCCATGGAGTAATATGCAACTGTTAAAAGTGAGGTGGATCCATATGTTTATTAACATGAAAAGACCTCTAATAATTGTAATATTAATTTTTTAGAATGTTATATACAATTTAGAATGGTATATACAATGTAAAATTATCATTAAAATATAAGACACAAATGTTTTCCCTGGGAAAATGAGTTATATGTGTAAATGCAGAGAGAGACATAAAATACTATGTCTCTCTCTACATAACATTCAAAAGGACCAGGATTGGAAGCTGCAGTGGGGTGAGTGGTGAAATAGGATTTTTCTCTCTATATACATCCATGCCATTTGAAACTTTATGATTAAGACTATGTAAAGCATTTCTTTTGTATTAAAAAGACATGCAATTAAACATACTAAATAATATTATTTACTGACCCATTACTATAAAAAATACAAGGTTAATATAGTCTTTTCCTTGTCAAATGTATAATGAATGTACAGAACAGAAACTGAAAATACAGATATAAATACTCAGCCAGCACAGCACTGGTCCACATCTTGGTCCTTCCTCTTCCTTTTACTCCCTTCAATCAAGATCCCTGGGGAAAGAACTCACACCTCTAAACAGATTCCAGAATAAGCCCAGCTGGCCCCTCCCTAGGTCAGCTATGGGACCAAGGTACCCAAAATTTTATACTTTTTAATGTACCCTCTTTGAAAAGACCTAGGTAAAAGGAGAGAGGGCCTGAGGGAAATGGACGAATTCAGACATCATAAGAAAATAACAAATCACTGCCTCAAAGCATCAGAAACAACAGCTGAGTCCAAATGACACACAGCTGAGCAGTAGATAGCTGTAAGACAAGAGTCCTGGGTTGTGGCAGCTGCACTCACACCAGCAGCTGTCCCTCTGCAGTTTAGAGATCCAATTCCTCCACTTCATTACATTTTATTACATTGCACGTCAGTGTCCTTGTAAAGCAGGATGAGGTCTAGGTTTAGACAAGCAGCATTAAAGCAGCAGCACAGACAGAAAGTTAAAGGGAGACAGATTTACCTGGTGCTGAGGTCCCTGCCCCCACTGGCCATCGTCCTGCCTTGGGGTCTGCCTGGACCTCTGATCCTTCCAGTCTCCCCAGCCTGGGTCCACTGAGGCTGCTAAACCCTGAGCAGGAAGAGAGTGAACTTCCCCGGGGAGGGCTCCACCCAAATGGGGAAATGAGAAGTGAAAGCAACTTTCTGAGTGTTTTCAGATACTGTCTCCATCCTCCTGCAGCCCAGGCCTGCTACAGGGGGACAGGGGTTGGGGTGGGGGATGGGGGGAGAGGGGAGGATTGTTCTTTCAGCCATCAGGACATGTGACAATAGGAGTGGAGGGCAAGGAGGGACAGGAGGGACCTGGAGACCAGGAGAGCAGGACCCCAGGGGAGGATCAGGACCAACCCCCAGGAGTCCCCTGGCTTGTCAAAAACATGAAAAAAGCCTGTGAATACTTCTGTCTTCAGCTGCTGCAACTTTCTAAGAGGGTACAGGGACCTGATGCTTTAGGTCTCAATGTTCAGAAACAGGACTGGAGAAGCAACATTCTCTAGAGCAAGGATTTCCACATTTGTTTCCCTGAGCCTGACTTCATCGGGCTGTAAATAAGGGTTCCTGTCCTATTTCATTTAAGATACAGGGGAAGGTTCTACCCTGTCTCCATGTACTTCTATTTGATTCTCCCAAAGAAGCAAACATTGAATCTGGAAAGATTCCATACACTGATGAGAACTTTTTTTTTTCTTTCTTTTCAACAAGAGCCCAGGATCTCAGTGTGTCCCAAGTTACCCTCTGCACACATGGGGGATCTCTCTCGCCCTGCCCTGCACCTCTCTCATTTGGGGAGTAGAAGAACTAGTAAGCTGAGCCTCTGCTGAGCACAGCTGTCTTCTGCTCCTGACCTTCATGATGCTTCGGGATCAGACAAAATTTGACACCAATGACACCAGCCTTTTCTAGTGTCCCCTCTCTCTTCTCATCCCTGAGCAATAGGCTGACTAAGCCACCACCACGCTGAGTATTGGCAGCAGCAACAGTAGCCATTGGCCCAGAGGATGAAGACCTGGCAGCTCTGCAGATGCAGAAATGGAGAGGAGGGGCACCTGGGACCCAAGTGGGAGCACTCAGGCCCCACACTAATGTCCCTTTATGGGAGGTGGCCCATCAGTCAGCAGGACTCCTGCCCCCCTGCTCTCCCTTCTTTTTGCAGAGACTCTGAGAGTTCTGGGAGTTCTGTAAAGTTGAGTCTGCTTCTTGGCGGGTCTCCCTGAGTTGATCCTGCTGGAGGGGCCAGGGCTCTGTGCTCCTCTGAGCACCAATGCAAGGAACAGTGGTCTGGGGATGTGGTCTATATGTGTGTTGATTGGAACAGGCTGAGACCATGAGGCTAAGCCCTGTTCTGGGGTTCAGTCTTAGGAATTCTTTTTTGGGGACCCATCTAAACCATGTCCCCTGATCCAGCTTTTATCAGGAAGAAAGGTGGTATTTTGATCCCCATCTGTCACATCTTCTGACTGGCAATTGTTTTAGAAATGTCAGGGTCCTTGTGGAGAGTTTATACACAGAATTGGAGGCTCCTCTTGGTGACTTTGGACCTTCTGGGACTTCCCCGTTATTCCCAGTGAGCATGGTTGCCCTGGCTTCTTCCCTGATTCTGCTGACCAGAAAAAAAGGAAAGAAAAAAAAAGAAGAAAAAGATAACTTTCTACCAAAGTTTGAGCTACCCACCTAAGCCTGTGGTATCTGGGATATATATGCTCTCAGGGTTAGACAATACTAAGCAGAAAACATCTACTAGCTGCTTGTGAGGTTCACTCTCCTTCCAGATGTGCCCAGTTTTTATTCTCTTCAAGCAATGGGTTGGGTAGGAGCTCACTCAGCAGATCAGAAACAGAACTCTCCATCCCCACTAGGTGCAGACCAACCCAGTCCACTCCCAAGCCCAGCCTGCTTCTGGCTTCTTAGATGGCAGTGGTTGCTGTGCCCCTGAGCCCCTGCCCACCCAGGAGGAGACATACCTCTCTCTGTGCTGTGCACCAGAGGCACACCTGTTAGGAGATACACAAGCCGGGCTGGGTACATTTTGTACACTGTGATCACAAGAGCACACACACACCTACTTAGAATGGGCTTGTTTCATAAACAATATGCCTAGAAAAGACACGGTTTATTCTAGAATTTCAGTTGGAGTTAATACTTAGAAACCATTTATACATATGAGACATAAAAATTGTTGCCAAAAGCTTAAGAGTATATTTTTCTTGGCTAAAGAAGGACGTTGAGTTATGTTTTTTTTAAATCTGGTAGTTTGTTTCAAGGACATGTTTAGGCAGCCATTTCTCCTCCCAAGGGATTTGGGCCACAGCCTTCCCTCTGCCTCCTACCTGCTCTAAATTCCCAGCGCTGTAACAAAGGAAGAAAGGGTACCCAACTGTGTATAGACAGTTCAAGTCATGTTTTTATAATGTTAATTATTTTCCTTTTATTTTAGCTTGACAAACATCCTTTAGCACAGTGGTTTTCAACTTGTGGGTCATGATCCCTTTGGGGGTTGAAGGACCCTTTCACAGGGGCCACCTAAGACCATCAGAAAACATAGATATTTACATTATAATTCATAACAGTAGCATAGTTACAGTTAGGAAGTAGCAATGAAAATTATTTTATGGTTGGGGGTCACCACAACATGAGGAACTGTATTAAAGGGTCATGTCATTAGAAAGGTTGAGAACCACTGCTTTAGCACTTCTTATAAAACAGTGATAGTGGTCATAAACTTTTTCAAGTTCTCTTTGATGGGTTTATTTCTCCTTTAATTCTATAGGACAGCTTTGCTGAGTACTAATCTTACATAACAGTATATCATCCACTCTCTCTTGATCCAGAAAATGTCTGTTGAGTAACTTGCTGATAGTCTTGTGGGGGCTCCATTGTATGTGACATAGTTTCTTCTTTTTTTGTTGAATTTCTAATTTTGTCTTCTAATTTAATTTTGTTGTATGTTCTTGTTCTGTTTCCTGGACAGCAAACACTTGCTTGAAATTCAGCTCAAATTGCTTCTCCAGTCTCATTCCCCAGCAAAAGTTATTGTGCTGGGAAAAAAAATGATGATGTTTATTATCAGTGTCATTAGATACCTTGCAATTTGAGTATGATCAGAACTCTTGCCTAAAACCCTAAATTAAATTAACCAGGTTAAGATTAAAAATTCATGTAGCTAAGAGTAATTTCTTTGTGCATGATTATTTACTTCTAGAGGCCTGGTGCATGAAATTCATGCACAAAAGGTTGGGAGGAGGGGAAGGGTGTGTGTGTGTGTGTGTGTTTGTGTGTCCCTCAGCCCAGCCTGCACCCTCTCCAGTCTGGGATCTCTCTCACAAACCAGGACTGCTCACCTACCTGTCTGCCTGATTGTCCCTAATTGTCCTCCTCTGCAGGCCTGGTTATTCCCAACTCCCTACCCTGCTGGTCCGGTCACCCCTAACTGCCCTATCTTGCCAGCCTAGTTGCACCTAACTGCCCTCCCCTACAAGCCTAATCCCCCCCACAACAGCCCTCCCCTTCTGGCCTGGTCACCCCTAAGTGTCCTCCCCTGCTGGCCTGGCTGCTCCCAACTGCCCTCCCCTCCAGACCTGGTTGCCCCCAACTGCCTCACCTGCAGGCTGGTCGCTCACAACTGCTTTCTCCTACAGGTCCGGTTGCCCATAACTGCCCTCCCCTGCAGGCCTGGTTACCCCCAACTGCCCTCCCTTGCAGGCCTGATCTCTCCCAACTGCTCTCCACTGCTGGCCTGACCGCCCACAACTGCCCTCCCCTGCTGACAATCTTGTGTCCACAAGGGAGCTGCCATCTTTGGCCACATGGGGGCTGCCATCTTGTGTGTTGGAGTGATGGTCAATTTGCATATTACCTCTTCATTTTATAGGATTATCTAGGCAAAAATGAAAAATAATTACCATACTTGGGGACTCTTACTCATCTGGTTTAGGTTGTTTGCCTTTGTGTTAACTTAAATAGTAATCTAAGTTCTGTGTAAATATCAAATATTACAGGTGTTCCTGTCTGTTAACTATATATTCATTTACATGCAAAGGAACCTGGAGTTTAAAATTTCTGAGAAGTTTGAGAATGTTTGGAGAGAGATAAGAAGCACAATATAAGTTTAGGATGCAATTCTCTTATCAGTTTGTTTTGAGCAGGAAGGACACAGTGTTCTCAATGGGCACCTCTTGCCTTTGAGGAGAGGAATGAGCTCTCAGGGCCCGTAATGCCCTATCTTGAATTGTAAAAGTCACTCACTTTTGGATCCCTTGCTTGTATAGGCTTATGATCGGATGAGATAAAGTATAAAATTTCCCTACTCTAAAAAATGAGGGCAAAGTGACTCAATGGAAAAAAGATGAAATAGAAACAGGGAAAGCCATTTACCGTTTCAGATGCCCTGTGTTCCCGAAAGATGCGGCGTACGTCCTGCATAAACCCCATTACGCTGAGGTAACCCCGCTCACTTAGCTTCTTCTTGATTTCATTCAGCATCCAAAAATCTGCCATGCATTGTAGTATCTCTATTCGCTGATGAAAAAATAATGTCATTGAGAGGATTTGTGATACAGTACAATGTCTGCCTTCTGTGGATTCCTATAAAATCCAGCTGAAATACATAGTAAGAAAAACAGCATCTCATGTACTCACTCCCATGGTTTTCAGATCACCAATCCCACAAGAGCCCATGTCAAGGTCAGATAACATAATGGAGGCCAGTAATTATGTTTTCTTATTGTTACTCACATAGTTATCATGTTGAATATTCGGAAAAACATTGCTCTCTGAATAGCATTCGATCATCAAGAGGAGGAACTCACATTTCTACAAGAAACGAAGGATTTGAATGAAAAGCAGCTTAGAGAGCATGAGCCCACATGTATGCACAGCAGAAGCATGGACACACTAGTTTTCAAGAAGTTTTCTTAAACAGGTATGGCTCTAGGAAATAGACATGTAACGGCTGATTTATTTTTTATTTTCTGCAGACAGGTTCTGGTGAGTGTTCAGCATGTTGAGATCTGGTCAAAAGAGCAGACTCCCTTTGATGCCCTCCTCCCACCCTATGACTTCTCACATGCAAGCAGAAAGGAAGGATTTTGGGATTTGAATTTGACTCACCAGCTGCTCCTCAGGCCCCATCAGCCTCGCCAGGACTTCAGATTCCCTGGCAGATTGCTGATTTCCTGAAAACTCCTTCACCCTGCACAAGGTGCAACTCCACGGGCTCCTGAGATGTTTGGCATAGATGAGCAAGGCAAAGCCCCAGAAACAGCCACTGTCCCTATGTCTGTCACTGTTTTCCTTTCAGGAGTGGCCAATGGGCACAACCTGAGACTGAAGGGGATACTCTCTAGAGTCCCCAAGACCTACATGTGGGGTCTGAGCCAATGACCTTTCTCCCAATAAGGGTGGCAACAAGAGTTGAGGGTGTAGAAGTTGGTGTCAGAGTGAGTGGTGTGCTCTGAGCTGGTGGGAGCACAAGGACCCTGCCCACCAGGCCTGAGTGTCAGAGAATGGGCATTAACCCTTGGGCTCTTGGGCCTCAATAACCCAGTTGAGAACATGGCAAAAAGTCCATATTTCCTGCCATTTCTGAATAAGTACAGAACATAAACCACTGTCATTTCCACTCCTGTGAACAGGAATCTGTGCTAAGAAAGTTCTGGAAAGGATAGTAGTGGTATATAGGCAAAGACCCAGCTATTGGCCTCAGCCTTACAGAGGAAGTAGGAAAACATTATCCTCCAGCTCACAGGTCTTTAAACAGATCCCAGGATCATACCATTGGACCCCACACCTTCAACCCTGCTTCTTCCCCATCCAGACACAAGGAGGAACTCTGCAGGGAGAGTGTGCATGACAGGAGGAAAAGGCCCTAAAGGGAGCCGGGGCTACATCTCACAAACCTCTCAGTTTCCACAGGTGGGAGGTGGCAGTCCCCATGAAAGAAGCTCGAACAAGTATTACAGTAGAAGAGATTTCCTTCATGGCAGCAGACCTTACATACGTCTGAACTTCTCAGCTAGAAGGTAAAACAATGTATTCCCAGTGAGACCCCAGAAGGCCACCATTATGAGAATCTAGAATGCACAACCTTTTTTGAACCTGGAAGAACACATATGAATTAGGAAGTATCAGAAATTATTTGAGAAAAAACAACAACAAATTATTCTTCCATGGTAGACACCAAAGTTGAAGCAATCCTTAAGGCCAGGGATACTATTTCAATCTTCTTCAATGGACATTGGCATTGTTTATTCACTCAACAATTGTATGTTGAATGAGTAAATAAATGATTATTGTTTCGTTTAGGAAAAGAGATTACACGCTATCTCTTTAGCTAATATTAACATATAATAAATGATTATTTGCCTAAGCATTTCAGGTTATTTGAAAACACAATAGCTGTCACAAGAAAGTACAATTGACCCTTATCAGGAGACAGGGATGTGTTGTGTGGTGCCAAGTGCAACACTGAAGTTTCCAGAAACTGGGGGCTCCCTCAGCAAGAAAAGTTCTGGGAGGCAAAGAGTATCCACTGAGGTAGTAATGGGTCCTGAGATCTGTCACTTTGGGTCATTTTGGTTCTTAATCAAGGAGACACAATATATAGGGGCAATTGAACCTTGAAGCTGCTAAGTGTTATACCCATTGATAAGGATAGAACATGTGAGTTGGAAGTTGCTAGCTCTTTTAGGTAATACAGATTGAGTAACCTTAGACACATGGAGAATAGTAGAGACACTGCTATTTAAAGTAGTCACTAAATAAAGTATGTTAAAATATTTTATCTTCAATAAACCCAGTGGGTGAAATTTCCCAAGGACTGGTAGTTCCAAAGACCCAGAACATCAGATAATGTAAAGGCCTGGACCTTACATTTTCAGTGTTATATGAAGTCCCAGTGAACAGCTATGTGCAACTTGTTCAGCAAAAGCCTTGGACAGACCTGAATTGTATGAGAATGGCACTTCTCACTTTCTCCTTTCTCAAGTTCTCATCCATACTCAGTCTGGAAAAAAATATCATTTGCTGCTAAATCTGCAATGCACATTATATATTTTGTTTGTTGCCTCCATAGCCTTTTTACATAGAAGAAGCACTTTCATGAGTAGAAAGGAGGCCAGCACAGCCCCTGAGGTGGAGTCAAAGGGTTGCATCAAAGTGAACAGTTTTCCAGGTCAGCCCATCATGTAAGCTACATCAATCTCCCAAGAGCTTTCTCCCTAACAGCGCCACCATAGAGGGCAAAATATTCCAACTGAGAAAGAATTTTATAACTGTGTGTATATTTTATTGAATAATGGAAGAGAATATAAAAATAGGAACAAAATCTGGGACTGAGTTTAAGATGATCCTGTGACATTATTAAGACATTTTCTAATGAATTCCATAATTATGTTTGCTTTACATTTGACACCCTTACAACATCTGCATCTATAGCTAAAACTGTTCTGTGAGGTTATTGTGATGAATCCATATTATCCTAATCTCAAATGGTTTACCATCATAGATTATACAACCTAATGTTCAAAGTAGCATCTCTGAAGGCACGTGTAAAAAAAAAATGGCTGGTGGGAGGTTGACTAGAAAAAGAAATTTAATGGTAATCACACATTTGAGAAACCATAATAAAATCAGTTATGTCATGAGATCTAGCATAAACTAATAATCACCTTTTTTGACCTGCCATGTTCTGCTGGAGGGGTAGCTAGTAGTCCCTTCTGAAAGATAAAAAGATGCAAATATATGGTTAGCCTGTGTTTATGTTTTGTGAGTCTGACATTCAAACCTCATCATAAATGTTTCTTATTGGATGTACCACTCAGTGTAAGCTTCAACCAAGGTGTCTAAATGAGACACCTCCTTCCTCTCCTCACCTGTTCTTATTCTAGAATTCATCAGTTCACCCTTACAAACTTTTTCCCTACTCTTGTGCCTTTTTCCTAAGTTTTAAGAGGTTCTCCTTCACAATCTCTTTGACACCTCGTACCTCCTTTCCATTCATACTGGTGCCATTCAAGCTTATGTCCTTACACCAAGGCTATTCAACCAACACACCTACAGGGTGACAGACACTCTAGACAATGTTGGGCACACAAAAGTGTATAAACCCTAGAGGGGTCTAGGAGAACAAGGGATTGCATGAAAGGGTAAGTATAAAACATTATGAAAAGGGCCTTAACAGTGGGGTCAGGGAACCCAGGGAAAAGGTAACAAACCAGGTGAGTCAGAGAATATTCAGAGAGAGGTGACATTGGAGCTGAGCATTGTAGGTTCACTATAGTGAAGTCATTTCCAGGCCCCATGCTGTCTGAAATACTGTTTTAAAGGTGTTATTTTATACCCCAGGAGACTCCCTGATTTTGTATTGTATGTGCTATGAGTTTAAACTCCTTAACCTGGCATTAAATCACTCCACAAACAATCCCAATGGATGGATTATGTCATATCATACATAATCTGTCTTCCTCAACCCATGGAGTCACATTAGTCGTGGTTCTAGTATTCACACCATTCTTTCTTTGGAGTTCCTTATGCTCACTTATGGACTATCTCCTTTCTTTCTGGGACTAAAGTTGTCAGCAAGCACCTGAGTCAGAATGACCTCTCTCTTCTTCAGGCTCCTGCATCTACCCCAATAGATCCCTTTTGACAAATTGATGTGCTGCTTTATACTGATGTCTGAGGGTCTGGCACCTCTCTCAGGGAAAAGGATAAAATCAGGAGCCTTGGGGCTCTAGCCATAACTCAATATATATTTGGTGAGAAAATAATGACCTCATCTTTGACTACAACAACAACAAAAAAGCATAACTTCTCTCCATCACTGGAATACCTTCATCAGCCATTGTAGGGTATACCCACAGTTGTGCACACGAGTCTTCCAACGACTATGTGAGGTTCCGAAGCCTGCTTTCTCTTCAAATTCCTTAGGGGTGAACCAATTTCCATCCTGGCCTCTTATACACTTTCTTTTGGTTCCTGAAAGACCCAGGCAAGTTGATAGTGAAGTCTCTTTGTCCTCAGAACTCAGACACTGGCCTCCCATCACCCTGGATCTGGAGTCACCCAATTTAGGCTCAAGATCACTAGCAGGAGAATCTGGCTTCCCCTCTCAGATTTCAGAATCCCCAAACCCATCCTGTAAGTCTCTTCCAAGGAGATTTCCTGCTTTGTGCAGTATTTTTCTTTGACAGTATTGCAATAAAAAAACATGACCATTAGCATAAAAAAAATCAACATTATAAAAATATTCCAAAATCACCTACAAGGAAAAGCAAGTGATTCTGAACAATGAGAGGATTGCAACTTGTCATTGAATTATGAAGATAGAGGACAGGCCAGACTCTCTGATGGCCTTGTGTCAGTGTGGAGACAGAAACTCAAGTTGGACTGAGCTCTGTGCTGCTCAGAATGGCACATGCCAACATCTGTGCCCTGTATTATACCATTTAAAAAAATATATTTTATTGATATTTTACAGAGAGGAAGGGAGAGAGATAGAGATAGAAAAATCAATGAGAGAGAAACATCGACCAGCTGCCTTTTGCACCCCCCCTACCAGGGATGTGCCCACAACCAATGTACATGCCCTTGATTGGAATTGAACCTGGGACCTTTCAGTCCGCAGACCGATGCTCTACCACTGAGCCGGTTTCGGCTGTTTTATACCGGTTTCGGCTGTATTATACCATTTTTTAAAATCTAAGTTTAAAGTCATTATTGAGAAAAGATTTTTATCCCTGAAATAATGGACATTAAAATAATTGTGAAATATCATTCAGTGGAAAATTTGTTATACATAACAGTTAGTTGTAACAACATTAATCATCAGAGAAATTGATATCAAAACAATAAGGTACTACATTATATGTTTTAGGATAGTGGTAATAAGACAGATAATAACAAGTGTTGGTGAGGATGTAGAGAAATTGGAGCCCTGAGACTTTACTTGTGAGAATATAAACTGGTGAAGTACTATAGAAAATAATTTAGTTTTTCTTCAATAAATACCAACATAGAATTACCATATAACCCAGCAATTCTAAGTCTTTGTATATTCCCAAATATACCAAACTTTTATGTTCATACAAAAAATTCACATGGATGTTCAAAATAGCACTATTTATAATAGCCAAAGAGTGTAACTAATAAATAGATAATCAAAATATGGCCTATCTATACCATGGAATATTATGTTATTTGGCAGTAAAAAGAAGGGAATACAATAAACTAGAGGCCCAATGCACAAAATTTGTGCACCTGGGGTGGGGGCGGTCCCTCAACCCAGCCTGCATCCTCTCACAATCCAAGAGCCCTCGGGAGATGTCCAACTGATAGTTTAGGCCTGCTCCTCACAGGTGGTCAGTGCACTCCCCAGGGGCCTAAGCAGGCAGTTAGACATCCTTAGTACTACCGCAGAGGTGGGAGAGGCTCCTGCCACCACCACTGTGCTCACCAGCTGTGAGCTTGGCTTCTGGCTAAGTGATGCTCCCTGTGGGATTGAACTGACCACCAGGGGGCAGCTTCTGCGTTGAGCATCTATCCCCTGGTGGTCAGTATGCATCATAGCGAATGGTTGTTCCATCATTAGGTTGATTTACATATTAGTCTTTTATTATATAGGACTAGAGGCCTGGTGCACAAAATTTGTGCACGGGAGTCTCTCAGCCCAACCTGCACCCTCTATAACCCAGGAGCTCTCAGGAGATGTCCTACAAATGGCTTAGGCCCACTTCCCATGGTTCTCTGCTTTCTGCAGGCCTGGAGGTTTTGTTGCAGCCATGGAGATGAAGCCCCCATGCCCTGCTCTCTGCCTGCCTCCACCATGCACCATGCGAAGGAAGCGCCAATGCCCTGCAGTGTGCTCTGCCTGGAGGTTTCGCTGACACCGACACACTAAGGAAGCCCCCATGCCCTGTTGCCCTGGCTCTGTCTGTGGAGCCTGGGGGTGCTCCCACCACCACCTTACTAAGAAAGCCCCCAAACTCTGCTCTCTGGGCTTTGACTGCCTGGCCTGGAGATGCTCCCGTCCTTGCACTAAGGAAGCCTCCATGCCCTGCTGTCCGGGCTCTGTCTGTCATGTCTGGGGGTGGATCAAGCCTCACTGCTTGGTCCCTCTCAACCCCAGTGGGGCTGACAGGCCCGGACACTGCAGCAGTGGTAGATCTGGGAGGCTGGATCTGCCACCTCTGGAGTGGCAGTGTGGACACAAATTGCTGCTCCTGTGGACAGGCTGGACACTCCAGCAGCAGGGCTGGGGGGACTGGGCACCACCATCTTGTGGCTATGAGGGCTGCCATTTTGTCACGAAGTGATGGTTAATTTGCATATTACTCTATTATTAGATAGGATGCTACTACATGGATGAACTTTGAAAACATCATGTGTATGAAAACCAATCACAGAAAGGCACATGGTACATGAGTTAATTGATATGAAATGCTTAGAATAATACAGTTTATAGATCAGAAAATAGATCAATGGTTGCTTAGAGCTGGGTGATGGGGTGAGGTTGGAATGGGCATTAACTACTGGGAGACATGGTGTTTCCTCTAGTGGGGAACAAAATATGTTCTAAAATTAGATTTTGATAATGGTTACATAATCTTATACAGTAAATAAAATGAAACAAACAAAAATCCCAGCATGAATTCTAAACTGCAAGTGGTAAATTTAGTGATATATGAGTTATATCTCAGGAAAGTTGTCTAAAAAATAGTTATGATGCAAACATTTATGTTAATTGGTGTTCACTGACCATATTAAGAGAAATCTATATGAAGCTTATTATAACAGATAATTGTTGTAAAACTTTATAATTTAAAAATCACAAAACATTTTGTATTTATAATGTAAATTAACTCTCAATGTTATACCATGAGGCAGTTTTTTGTTGTTATTGTTGTTATTATCCTATTTTTAGATTAGAAATTTCAGGCTCAAGCTGAAACCGGTTTGGCTCAGTGGATAGGGTGTTGGTCTGCAGACTGAAGGGTCCCAGTTTTGAATCTGGTCAAGGGCATATACATTGGTTGTGGGCACATCCCCAGTAGGTGGTGTGCAGGAAGCAGCTGGTCAATGTTTCTCTCTCATCGATATTTTTAGCTCTCTGTCCCTCTACCTTCCTCTCTATAAAAAATCAATAGAATATATTTAAAAAAAAGAAATTTCAGGCTCAGGAACTGTTCTTTTTTTAAAAAAATATTATTGATTTTAGAGAGAAAAGAAGAGGGAGAGATAGAAACGTCAATAATGAGAGAGAATCATTGATTGGCTGTCTCCTGTATGCCCCAAACTTGTGATCAAGCCTGCAACCCAGGCATGTGCTCTGACCTAGAACCCAACCATGACCTCCTGGTTCATAAATCAATGTTCAAATACTGAGCAACACTAGCTGGGTGGAAATATTCTTTGCACAGTCACTCTTGGCATAGTTGAGACCAGGCCTTATATTTTCTGATTCTAAATTCTGTGGTCTTCTCACTACATCAAACTTCCTATCCTGTGATGATTATCTAGAAGGTGTATAGAACCGAAACCAGTTTGGCTCAGAAGATAGAGCATCTGCCTGCGGACTGAAAGGTCCCAGGTTTGATTCCGGTCAAGGACACTTACCTTGGTTGAGGGCACATCCCCAATAGGGGGTGTTCAAGAGGCAGCTGATCGATGATTCTCTCTCATCGATGTTTCTAACTCTCTATCCTTCTCTCTTCCTCTCTGTAAAATTCAATAAAATATAATTTTAGAAGGCATATAGAATATGAAGGTGGGCACTGAAAGCCTCTTTTCTTTTATCTGATAAAATATGAAATATTTTCCTCTCATAGACTAATTCTCCTTCACTTCTCTTTGGTTCTTTGGCTATTCTCATGGACATTTCCATGTGGAAGTGAGCACTTAATAAGCACCATTTCTTAAAGTATAAAAATATCATCTTAGGGATCCCTTCCTTTTTTTCAGGCCTTAGTGGGGCCTCAATTCCTTGAACAAAGGGTAATTCCATTACTATATAAGATTTCTTCATATAGGTATTATAAATTAAAATAGACTATAAAACCCACCTTGTTCGAACTCCTTAATATATAACATGCCTTTTATCTCCCCACAGGTCACTGGAAATATTTCAGGTTGAAAATTCACACTTTCTTCTTTGTGCTCTCTTGTCCCTGAAAAAGAATATTCTTTAGTCTATATCATTTTACAATTATACATGTACAACTTCCTCCTGAGTTGGGTTTGTTTCTATAAAGACATAGAGGTACCACTTAGAAAACTTTATTCCACAGATCTCCAGAGTTTCAAAGTCTTTCTTTCAGAGGCATTTTTGATACATAGCCAGAGATTTTACTTTTCAAATCTCACACCAAACAGAATGCTTTACCAGAGATACCAGGCATCAATAAAATTGTCTTAATTCCCACCTTGGCCAGTGTCCTTTAATGGTAGAGCATTGACCTGTACACTTAAAGTTCTCAGGTTTGATTCCTGGTCAAAGGCACATACCTGGGTTGTAGGTTCATCCAGGTCCCAGTTGTACTCACTGGAGGCAACAAATTAATGTGACTCTCTAACATCAATGTATCTATCTATCTCTCTGCCTCCCCCTCTCTCCTTTCCACTCTCTCTAAAACTCAATGCGAAAAATATCTTTGTTAAGGATTAACAACACCAACCAAAAAAAAATTGTCTTAACTCCCAATCCAGTCAGCCCCCTTGATTCTTACATGACAATGAAACACAGAGGTGCTGTCATGTTCTGCAGGAAGCTCTCCAGCTATGCTAGTCCACTACAGTTAGGTAGCTGGAGACAAAGTCAAACTGTGCATGCAGCTCCTGTTTGAGCTCTGACTCAGTGGCAGAGAGGATTACAATGGGGTTACCTAAGGGAGATGGGGTCTGCCTGATATTTGTGTTCTGTTGCTTTACCTGATTTCTTCTCCAAATCAGCTTTCTCCAGAGCTGAAAGTGGAGCTCAGGTAACTTTAGGGCAATCTTCAAATTGCACAGCTAGCTGGACTATTACTGTCTGACAATGGTGTGCCCTTTGTCAAAAGCTATATCCAATGCTCTGATTGTCTAACTCTATGACCTCATCTCCTCCTGTCCAGACACTTCTTTATAATGGCTCTTTTCAAACTTCTTTAGGAAAAAAATATACAACTAAAAGTCTAAAAATTAACATTAAGTAAGACAAAATATTAACAGTATACCTTTGCAAAATTCAACATGTAATATATTAACACTAGAGGTCTGGTACATGAAAATTCATGCACTGGAGGAGGGATCCTTGAGCCTGGCCTTCTACCTCTCACAGTCCTGGAGCCCTCAGAGGTGATCTGGTAATAGCGGAATGCAATTCCCCTTCAAACCTTTGCTGCTGCCACTGCAGGCAGCAGAAGCTTCAGCCAGCCCTGATTACCTGAGCCTTGGGCAGCCACCATCTGAGGCTTTCCTGCACTTCAGGCTGGCCCTTGGCAGCTGGGCAGCCAACATTTAAAGCTTGCCTGCACCTCATCCCGGCCCAGGGCAGCTTGGGGGCTGAGGCAACCTGGGACTCCAGAGGTAGGTATGCCCCAGCGGGACTGAAGGGATTGAGTACTGCCAACTTGTGGCTGTGGGTGCTGCTATCTTTGAGGGCAGGAAAATCAATTAGCATATTGCCTCCTTATTACCATAGCTATGAGTGCTGCCATCTTTAGGGTGGGGAAGTCAATTAGCATAATCCTTCCTTACTGAATGTGGGCACTACATCTTTGTGATGGTGTGAGAGTAAATTAGCATATTCCCTCTTTATTAGATAGGATACCTATTCTTGGACAGCATGGGAAAAAATGACCAACATAGTAGCAACACTGGTAAGACAGATACCAGGCATTTGTAGAAGAGCAACAAATGACCAATAACCAGTGAAAAGTGCTCAACTACACTAAAAAATTATAGTAATGCAAATTAAAACAGGAATGAAATAAAAGTATCTACTGTTAAATTGGCAAAATGTGTGCTTAATATACTGATTAAAATAAGGGAAATGTAACACTATAAATAGATTAACTCAGATAAGTAATATAATTCTAAATATGTTAATACTTGGGCAGAAAAAATCTGAGAAGATATCAAAAAAAATCATAGATTTTAAAATTAAAAAGCAACAAAGATGTGAGCATTTAAACATATAAATTGCTGGTTTGAAATATGTAAAATAATCATATAGAGGCAAAATATTCTCTCTTTTTTTAAATCTTATGAAAGGTGGTAGTTCTCACATGCGGCTGTAATAAATTCCCCAAAACTTGGTCTAAAGTAACACAGGTTTTTATCTCATAATTCTAAAGGTCTGACTAAAATTTCACTGGCATAAAATCAAGGTGCCCACAGGGCTTTGTTCTTTTCTGGTGGCTATCGTAAGAAGAAGAAAAATGTTTTTGTTTTGTTTTGTTTTTTTGTTTTATCTTTTCCAGCTCTAAGTACTGCACACATTTCTTGACTCATTGCCTTCTGCTTTCATCTTCAAACACAGCCACATTACATCTCTAATTATTATTCCTTAGACACAAATCCCTCTCTGCACAGCAGGAGAGCTTTTATAATTTTAAGCATCTACACGATTTGACTGGGGCCACTCAGATTATCCAGATAATGGCCCCATTTCGTTAACCTAATCACATTTTCAAACTCTCTTTCACCATGTAAAGAGATAGATTAGAGGCTCCAGGGACTAGACATGGACATCTCTGTTTCTGTTGGTATAAAATTCTCAAGAACCTTATAGGTCTTCCATGTATGTCATGGGGATTTGCTCAATCCCCATGTGTTTCCACAAGAGGCTCTTCCACAGATGTTTCCAATATAATCACATATCTATATTTTAGTTTAGCTGAGATGGCTGAGATCTATGAGTTGCATGCTTAGTCTCATCAAAGAACCTTTCTGTGACTAAATATTCTGATCTTTCACTGCTTCTGAGGCTCTAGTAAAAAGTTGTTCAGTCACACTCTCAGCCATTCTACAGAGCACTCTTAACCTGACAGAGAATCTCAATTTTAACATCTTTTGTAATCTTTGTAAGCTAAGAAAATCCAAATCACCAAGTCCTGATTTCTTTTTGTTGAGCAGTTCTCCTCCCCTCAGTTTATTTTATTCTTCTCACATTTTACTTTAAGCAGCAAAAAAGAAACCAGCTTCATCTTCATCATCTAGAAACCTCCTTAGTGTATATCCAGAAAGTTCTGCTTTCCATATATCTGCAAGATAGGATTTTGCTCCACTTTCTGTCACTATATAAGACTCCTCTTCCTCATGTTTCCAAAAACATATTCTTTATTGCCTTCTGCATCCTCACAACTTTAACCAAGTTTGTACATACTTATGTTGTTCAGGATAATTTATGAATTCTCTGAGGCAACATAGATGTTCTCCTCCATGTCTTTCTTCCCTCGGAGTCCTCCCTGGGTCTTAGCATCCACATTTCTACAAACTGCTCAAGGCAATCTAGGCTTTTTTTTTTCTTCTAATCATTCTAGTTAAAATTCTTCTAGCCTCTACCCACTGCCCAAAGCCATTGCCACATTTTTAGAAATGTTTTATAGCCACAACCCACTTTTAAGAACCAAGGTCTGTATTATTTTCATATTGCTGCCATAACAATTTACTATAAATAGTGGGCTTAAAACAATACAAATTCATTATCTTACAATTCGTGTGCATTAGAATTATAACATGGACTCACTGGGCTAAAATCCAGTTTGTAACAGACTTTCATTCCTTTCTGGAGGCTGTAGGGGACAATCTGTTTCCTTGATTTTTCTGCTTCTTAAGGTCACCCACATATCTGATTCTCTTCTCCCATCTTCATAGCCAGAATATAGCATCTCTCTGACCATTCTTCCATATCACTATCCCTCTCTCCAGAGCCAAGAAAGGTTCTCCACATTTTAAGGATTAGGGGAGTATATTGGGGCCACCCAGAGAATCCAGGATAATCTCTCTCATTTTAAAGTCCCTAGTTAAATTAAATCTGTAAAGTCCGTTTGCCATGTAAGATAACAGGTCCCAGGGTTTGGGGCATGCACACCTTTGAGAAGCCATCATTGTACCTACTGCAATATTATAAATAATTATGATGATGAAACTCTGGTATTTAAAAACTCATTTCTACACCAAAAGCAAGCAAAATCTATTCACTCTTACTTTTTTTACTCTCAGATTTTTCTAAAGTAGATTTGTTTCCAAGATGCACAGTACCTAAAAAAAAGAAAGGAAGAAAGAAAAGATGGTAGTGAGAAAATAAAAATAAATAAATAGAAGTTGCAGATCTTAGCATAATTTATAGTGCAGAAACCTTACATTATAAGGGTGTTTAATTTATTGATTCTCTCTTTCTTCTAAAGAAACTAAAAATTAATTTGAGGATTCTAGGATTGGCCATGAGACTTCCTTTATTTCTTAATAGGACTTTGAAAAACACCTTGAATACCTTAGTAGTTCGTTTTATGTAGGAATAGGAACAGGTATCCTATCCTGTCTAGGTCTTCACTTTTTATTAGATATCAGAGTCCCCTCATCTGGGCCCTCAAAGAATAGTGGAACTACTTTATTGTTTTATTTGCATAAATATGCATTTGCATTGCTCTTGTGCCATTGACCTTTTATTCCATTTAGTTCAACCCACCAATGCAGAATGTTTAATGAATATCATCTAAAATCACAACATTTTTTTTATTTTAAAGAAAAAATAAAAATATTTGAACAAAGATTGTGTAGCAAAGAAAGCTATTTGTTACATTTGCTCTTGGGTCTTTTCAGGTTGCTGCCCCTAAATGGATTTGTTTTCAATGTTCACAGGATTTGGAAGTAAGGGAAAACAAAGACTTAGTCAAAAGAGTTCTGAATTTTATACAGTTATCTGGTCTAACATTTTGGTTGTTGTAAGCATAAATAGATATCTTATTTGCAAAGATATTTAAATTTCATACAATAAAACCCTAATATGCAAATCGACCAAACTTTGAAACAACTGGTGGAATATGGGGCTCTCAGCTGGTGAGTACAGAGGCGGTGATGGGAGCCTGTCCTGCTTTCAGCAGCGCTAAGAAGCAGCAAGCTGAGCTGTAAGTAACAGTGAGCAGATGAGTGGTAAGGCATGAGGGTCCCAGACTATGAGAGGGAAATCCACCTGCCTGCTTAGGCTCTTGGACTTGAGAGGATGCAGGCCAGGCTGAGGGTCCTCCCACCCCACTCAATGCATGAGTTTTATGCACTGGGCATCTAGTAACACCATTATGTCATGCTGGGGATCATCATTAAAAGCTATAAATGGATTTGATAGTAATAGCCAGAAGCTTTTTCTTCTATCAATAATTAGAGCCTATTTAATTTTGAACATGTTTTGAAAAATTTAGCCAATAGCTGACTCTCTCACTTTCTCTACTCTATACAGAATAGATGGTGAGAAGGTGGACATCACTATGTAATCCACCACATTGGGAGATTTTATGTCTAATAATAGGAGTGAGACACACTGCCATTCAACTAGAGCCGTTATAAGCTTCAATTTTTAGTGATTTCTTTCTTTGTAGTTTTATTTACTTTACTTTATTGAGTTTATTGATGTGACATTGGTTAATGAAATTACACAGATCTCAGGTATACAATGCTACATCATCTGTATACTGAATTGTGTGTTCACCACCCCAAGTCAAGTCTCCTTCCATCACCATTCTCTCCCCCTTTACTCTCTTGTACCTCCCCTATTCCATCCTCATGCTGTTAATCATCATACTGCTATCTGTGTCTGTATATGAGGATTTTTCCCCTTTGCTTCATTTCCTTGCCCTTTTCACCCAGTCCCTCAACCCCAACTCACATCTGACAGCTGTCACTCTGTTCTCTGAATCTGAAGGTCAATTCCTATTTTGTTTGTTAGTTTCTTTTATTCTTTACAGTTTTCTATAAGGTATTTAGGGATCAAGGGTGTTAAAAGAGGGAAAAAGAGAAACATATGCAATACTTTGAACAATAAACTATCTTTTTAAATGGCATGAGATCAAGGCAATAATAGGCCCAAAGGCCTTGGTGTGTGTTCAGAGAAACAGGAGCTCTGAGCCCAGACTTCTAGTGTCTTAAAGCCCAGCAATGGAAGCCCTTACCCTTCTCATCAGGACTGATTCTCAATGCAGAGCTACAGGCTCCCAGGAGTTTATCACATGCACTGAATCCTGAAGAACCTTGAAGACTTCTCACTGCAGAGCTACAGGGTCCTGAAGACTTATTCTGTGCACCAAATCCTGAAGACATTTCAGAACTTCTCATTGCCAAGCTACAGGATCCAGGGGATGTTTTCTGTGCACTGAACCCTGAAGACACTTCAGAAATTCTCACTGCAGAGCTAGAGGCTCCTGGGGGCTGATTCTGTGCACTGAATCCTGAATACACTTCAGAAACTCTCACTGCAGAGCTAGAGGCTCCTGGGGGCTGATTCTGTGCACTGATCCATGATGACACTTTAGGGTTTTTCACTGCAGAACTATAGGGTCCTTGGGGCTGATTCTGTGCACTGAATTCTGAAGACACTTCAGGGTTTCTCACTGCAGAGCTACAGGCACCTGGGGACTGATTCTGTGCACTGAATCCTAAAGACACTTCCAAAACTCTCACTGCAGAACTACAGGCTCCTGAGGGCTTCTTCTGTGCACTGATCCCTGAAGACACTTTAAGGTTTCTCACTGCAGAACTACAGGGTCCTTGGGGCTGATTCTGTGCACTGAATCCTGAAGACACCTCAGGGTTTCTCACTGCAGAGCTAGAGGCTCCTGGGGGCTGATTCTGTGCACTGAATCCTGAATACACTTCAGAAACTCTCACTGCAGAGCTACAGGCACCTGAGGGCTGATTCTGTGCACTGAATCCTGAAGACACTTCAGAAACTCTCACTGCAGAGCTAGAGTCTCTCGGGGGCTGATTCTGTGCACTGAATCCTGAAGACACCTCAGGGTTTCTCACTGCAGAGCTAGAGGCTCCTGGGGGCTGATTCTGTGCACTGAATCCTGAAGACACTTCAGAAACTCTCACTGCAGAGCTACAGGCACCTGAGGGCTGATTCTGTGCCCTGAATCCTGAGGACACTTCAGAAACTCTCACTGCAAAACTACAGGCTCCTGAGGGCTTCTTCTTTTCACTGATCCCTGAAGACACTTTAGGGTTTCTCACTGCAGAGCTACAGGCTCCTGGGGGCTGATTCTGTGCACTGATACCTGATGACACTTTAGGGTTTCTCACTGCAGAGCTACAGGCTCCTGAGGGCTGTTTCTGTGCACTGAATTTTGAAGACACTTTAGGATTTCTCACTGCAGAGCTACAGGCTCCTGAGGGCTGTTTCTGTGCACTGATCCCTGATGACACTTTAGGGTTTCTCACTGCAGAACTACAGGGTCCTTGGGGCTGATTATGTGCACTGAATTTTGAAGTCACTTCAGGGTTTCTCACTGCAGAGCTACAGGCACCTGGAGGCTGATTCTGTGCACTGAATCCTGAAGACACTTCAGAAACTCTCACTGCAGAACTATAGGGTCCTTGGGGCTGATTCTGTGCACTGAATCCTGAAGACACTTCAGGGTTTCTCACTGCAGAGCTACAGGCTCCTGGGGGCTGATTCTGTGCACTGATCCCTGATGGCACTTTAGGGTTTCTCACTACAGAGCTACAGGCTCCTGGGGGCTGATTCTGTGCACTGATCCCTGATGACACTTTAGGGTTTTTCACTGCAGAACTACAGGGTCCTTGGGGCTGATTCTGTGCACTGAATCCTGAATACACTTCAGAAACTCTCACTGCAGAGCTAGAGTCTCTTGGGGGCTGATTCTGTGCACTGAATCCTGAAGCCACCTCAGGGTTTCTCACTGCAGAGCTACAGGCTTCTGGGGGCTGATTCTGTGCACTGATCCCTGATGACACTTTAGGGTTTTTCACTGCAGAACTACAGGGTCCTTGGGGCTGATTCTGTGCACTGAATCCTGAAGACACTTCAGAAACTCTCACTGCAGAGCTAGAGGCTCCTGGGGGCTGATTCTGTGCACTGAATTCTGAAGACACTTCAGGGTTTCTCACTGCAGAGCTAGAGGATCCTGGGGGCTGATTCTGTGCACTGATTCCTGATGACACTTTAGGGTGTCTCACTGCAGAGCTGCGGGGTCCTCGGGGCTTCTTCTGTGCACTGATCCATGGGTTTCTCACTGAAGAGCTATAGGCTCCCGGGAGCTGATTCAGTGCACTGAATCCTGAAGACACTTCAGTGTTTCTCACTGTAAAGCTACAGGGTCCTAGGGGCTTTTCCTGGGCACCATATCCTGGAGGCACTTCAAGAAATTTCACTGCAGCGCCACATGTTACTTGAGGCTTCTTCGCTGCACAGAGTCCTGAAGACTCTTCAATACTTCTCCCTGCAGAAGGAATAAATGTTTCTTAAAAATTCCAGTGAATGACATAATAACGAAAACAATAAAAAGCGTGCGAAGCCCTAAAATCCCATGTGTAGATATTAAATTCTCAGACCTACATGATCTGCCTTTTTTGAACTCTCATGACCTATAGGTCAATATTTTATCCCTCACTGTCCCCAAAGATATTTCACTTTCAGTGGGCTTCTCTGATTTCTTTATTTAAAAAAATATATTTTCTTATTGACTTTAGAGAGAGTATGTATGGGAGAGGGAGAGAAACATCTATGAGAGCTGCTTCCTAAACACAACTTTATTGGGCACAAAATCTGCAGCCCCTGGCAAATGCCCTGATGGGAAATCAAACCAGAGACTTCTGTGTGCATGGGAGGCTGCCAAGCCAACTGAGCCACAAAAGCCAAAGTGTCTCTCTGTATGTTTTTTGGCCCTCTGTATTTTGCACTACGCTCTCCTTCTTTTACATGTAGCTTATGGATTTGTGTTCATGTCTGTCATTATATTATATTTTAGTTCTGCTTCTTTCCCAAGGTAGTCTTAGAAATCTGAAGACTACCTTGAAGAAGGCAGATCTCTCATTTGTATGCTTTCCAGAATGACTTTGTGAAATAGATAACCTTCCATGTTTTAAAACACTTTGGAATCTTTGCTTGAGAAAATAATTTGAAATTGTATTGTGTTTTAGTGATTGACCTTTTAGGTGTATTTGTCATAGCCATCAGCCTTACCAACACAAAAGTTAAAATACAAACTATCTTACATTAAAGCAAACTTGTATTTACTATAAAAGAAGTAGCAAAAAATTAAAATAAATCTTCAGATTAAAAAAGGCATGCTCATTTATAACCATGAAATGTTCTTATTCGCTTGCTCTTACCTGTTTTGCAAACTATTTTTCCAGATGTAGGTGATTTTCTGAAATCGATTGATTCTATAAAGTAAAAGAGAGAGAACAGTATTTGTTTGCAGTGGTCTTACAGAGTCTGTGACAACTGTCAGAGCAGATAGGGTTTGTGAAAACTCAATGTTGAGATGATCATATTTCTCTTTCTCGCACTTGAACCCAGTTCTGGTGCTCCCCTGAATCCCACAATGCTGGGCTCCTGCCTGGTGCTCCCATTTACTTTCCATGTAAATTTTAAATGACTCTCAAATATTATCATCTCCTACACTACAAAGATGGCATAATCTACTTACCCTATCTCCCCATTAAGGTTTTTGTGAAAAGAAGTGAAATTTAATTCACAAAAGTAGTGAAAATCAAAATGTAAGTCAATCATTTAAGTATCATTTCAATTAGAAAGTAGTCGGTCTAAACCATTTATCCCATTAATAATTAATATTAGCACAAAATATACTTTTAAAACATTCTAAGGTTTCTATTAATGGCACAATAGTCAAGAGTTAGCGAAATATTGTACTCTGCTTTATAGAATATAAACTCTTTACCATTAACATATCATAGTGTGTAGTAAAAAAGAATATTATTTACTAGTCTATTATTGCTAAATTTTCAATGTATCAATTGATTAAACTCATCCAGTCAAACAACCATTTAGAATGATCCTTGCCCCCTCCTGTTTAGCAATAGGATTGAAAAAGCTAAATGGTTAAAATGGTATCCCAGAAGTAATGAATCAATGAATACAGAGAACTTCAGAATGAGATTCATCATGAAAATGGGGCCCTGTGCTCTGTAGACTCTGGATATTTGTCCAGAAATACAATCTTATCTGATACAATTTAGCGTCATGAACAGGTGGCTTCTTGGGACTCTCTTCCTTTATTTGATTCTAAGGAATATAGTTTATTGATCACTGTACAAGCAGTAGGATTCTTAGATGTCTCAGTGTGTGCCCAGGGAATTTATGTAGCATGGAATTCCCTAATACAACTTGAAAAATCTTGAAAATCCATATATACTATGGCCTGTAAACAGGACACCTGGTCTGTCCCTTTAAGTCACCTGCCTTGTAGGTTAGTGATGCTCCATTCTCTGTCCCCATAGCAGAGACAAGTCCATGGCAAAGAGCACAAGTGCTCTGTTTGACCTGTATCTTCCTACACTTCTCTCTGTTCTACCTCTTACCCTTCAATTGCCATTTCACACTTCCTTCATCTGCTGATTCTTTGTAGGGACATCTTGGAAATGTGTTAAGGAGCATTTTGGTAGGAAGCCCTTCTACCCCCTCGGACCCTTGAAATAAGCTCTTGCGTCTGAGCCATAGCCCTATTTTGGGGAACCACGTTTCAGAGCACTTTGCCTACACTAAGCCACAGTCACAATGCACACTCTATAAACTGAAAAAAACTTAGTTTTACATTGATAGATATAGAGAACTATTAGAATAAAAGTATTATTTACAATATTATCTTATAACATCAAGACTAGGTCACATCTTTATTTGTGTTTAGCTCTTTTCCTAGTGGGTTTGCTCAAAAGACATGTTTCTAAAACCTCTGGGAAAGTAGGAAGGAAAACCCAATCTCCACTTTGTCCACTAAAGTGCTGCAGATCTGATGACCACTCATGCTATACACAGGATTGAGGAAACAACATTTTGATAACTGTTTTGAGTTCCAGATTTACAAAAGAAATAACAGGAAATTCAGAAAGCTAGTCCTGTCCTTCCCTTTATCTCCATGTGACTTTGAGGAAGATTTGAAATATTTGTGTGATTTTATTTTCTCACCTCAAAACAAGAGTAATAATGGCCATCTTTCTCACTCCCCAGGGTTGTTGTAAAGCAAAAGGTAAGACACTATTTGCAAAGATCCTTTGTAAAGTCATTCTATATGTCATGACTTGCTGGAAAACTTTCCAGAAAACAACATTTGGGGTTTCAAAACATCTTATTCATTTTTGCTAACACAGGAAAGCTGGAGGAATTGACCCTGAACATTATTCAAACTTTGTGATTAGATGACAATATGACCATCCAATAAAGAAATATTTGGCTTTCTCTTCTATGTAGAAAAAACTGTATAAACCCAACTCTTTATAGCCACAGAATTAGTTTTAATAAAAATTCACTGCTTTGCTAGCCTATTACTACTATGGAATCAATATATGGGAGCATTGGTTGATTTATAGGACCTATGTATTAATAGGCCACATAATTTAAAAATATAAATATAATGATTTATTACAGTGCACATCCCAAAGGTCAGGTAAAATAAACACAGAGAATGGGATTCCAGGATAAACTGAGTCTGTGGTATAGGATGAACTGAGAATTGATGCCTCAGGAAACAGTGACTCTTCATTGAGATTCCTGCACCCCAAGCCTTGAGCTCCCACTTCTTTACCTGGTTCCCTTTTCAATGCTGTGGTGGAAGCTTCAGGGGGTCCATCTCCACTAGTAAATTCTTCAAAGTCCTGACTGTCGATCACTGCACAAAGAAGATAAAAGCACACATTGTCTTGCGGTGAAGCCACGGAATGGAAATCTCTTCATGGGATCAGTAGGAAGACATAGAAGTTAACTCAGGTCCCTCTGGTCTGTGGCCAAAGTGTGTGACCTAAGGTTGTTCCAGGCCCTATCCAGAGATCATGACATTCACGGACTGAGTGCAGCTTTGCCCAACCTGAAGCACAGTTCTTACATCCAACCTCTCTACACCTGCTATCCCCACGCCCATTGTATTTCAACTCCCATCGACACTCTCTCTTACATCCACTCTCTAATATCTCCACCCTCATTCTATCTTTTTCTTTCTTTGATTCATTCCAAACATATCTAAATATTTATTAAGCTAGAAAGATGGATCAAAGAGAAGTATACCTACATAAAGGCTATCTTTTAAAAATGGCATCAAATTATATATTGTTAATTTTTAATGTATTTATTATTTTTATATTTTACTCAATGTATTGGGATTTCATTGCTTCACAGAACTGTACAAGATTCAAATGTACAACTGAAAAAGACATTATTTGCACACAGCACCAATCTCCCATCATCCCAAATAAAGTCTCTTGGTTCTGCTCATTTTTGGCAATTATGCTAGTTTCTGACAAAAGTGTCTCTTTTTACCTCTCCTTCTCTTCGTGTGTGTGTTTTTCTCATCTCCTTTCATGAATATCTTCATTTTCTGAAAAATTTCCTTTACCTCAATACCTTCCTCTCTTTGAATATAGAAACATACACTCTGATATCAACACTTAAATTTACCATTTCTGTTTTTTATATTTTTTTCAATTACTGCGGACGTGTTTCTGTTGACCTCGCTGCATAAGGCCCCTGTTCCCTCCACTCTCTATCTGTAATGAAAGCCACCATTACTGTCTCATGGGCCCTGATGACATGTCTCAGATCCTTGTCTGGTACAGGGATGCACCTCACCCATTCTTTCAGTCAGCTTTACCTATTAAGTCAGATGCCGGGTTACAGTCAGTCCTTGCTTGGACTTCACATTCAACTCCTGAATTTAAAAATGGCTTTTCCTCCTTTACATCCACTGGGTCTACAGAGCAGGAATTGGTTTGGGTTCCATGGTGGAGTAGCTCTGCTCCTGGACAGAAGCGTAACAAATGAAAAATTTCATTTGCCTCCCCTTAGGAAATGAACACAGTCACAACAATCAACAAGCCCTTCTCCCTGTAGTTCCACTGCAAGGGAAAACTCCCCCATCTGCTACTCAACCCTGTCCTTTCTCTATGCCTCTATTAAAAACAACAGCAACATATTTGTATTGATTGACTGAGAGAGAGAGAGTGAATAGAGTTATATAAACTTCAATGAGAGAGGAACATCATGGATCAGCTACCTCCTGCACACACTTCTATCGATACAAGGCATTGAACCCACAACCCTGGCCTATGCCTTGATGGGGAATCAAACCAGTGACCTCAGGGTGCATGTGAGGATGCTCAGCCAACTTAGCTACTCTGGTTGCTTTCTCTGTTTCTGTTTTTGGGTTTTTTGTTGTTGTTTGTTGTTGTTGTTTACCTGTATTATTCAGAGCATTCAGTTTCTTCTTTTAAATGTAGCTTATGGATTTGTGTTTATGTCTGTAATTATATTAAACTAGAGGACTGGTGCACAAAATTCGTGCACAGGGGTGTCACTAAGCCTAGCCTGCACCCTCTTCAATCTGGGACCCTTCGAGGGATGTCCAACTGCCCGTTTAGTCTCGATCCCAGTAGGATCAGGCCTAAATGGGCAGTAGGACATCCCTCTCATAGTCTGCTGGCTCAAAACTGCTTGCCTGCTTCCCTTTGTGATTGCCCCTAACCACTTCTGTCTTCTAACCTGATATCCCCTAACCACTCCCCTGACAGCCTGATTGATTCCTAACTGCTCCTCTGCCATCCTATTTGCCCTTGCCTGCAGGCCGGTTCACCATTAACTGCCCTCTCTTGGTGTCACCCCTAACTGCCCTCTCCTGCAAGCTTGGTCATCCCTAACTGCCCTCCTCTGCAGGCCTGATCGCCCACATCTGCCTTCCCTTACAGACCTGGTCACTCCCAACTGCCATCTCTTGCAGGCCTACTTGAGGCAGCCATCTTGTGTCCACAAAGGGGAAGCCATCTTTGACCACATGGGAGCAGCCTTGTGTTGGAGTGATGATCAATTTGTATATTACTCTTATTAGATAGGATTTTAGCTCCATTTCTTTCCCAAGGTGGTCTTAGAAATGTGACATTGAAGAACACAGATCTCTCATTTGTATGATTCCCAGAATGACTTTGTGAAATACATTTCCTCTCCCTCCTCCTTCCCTCCAACCTTTCTAAAACTGTTTGGAAAGTTTACTTGATAAAAATATTAAAATTGTATTGTGTTTGAGTGATTGGCCTCTTTAGATTTATTTCTCACAGCCATTACCCTAACTAATACAAAAGTGAAAATCTGAACTATATTATATTTAAATAAACTTGTATTTTACTATAAGTGAAGTAGCAAAAATTAGAATGAATCTTTTGTAGAAAACACTGTTCATTTGTCACCATGAATAGTTCTTATTTGCTTGTTCTTACCTGCTTTGCAAGGTATTTTTCCAGATGTAGGTGATTTTTTGAAATCCATGGACTCTATAAAATAAAAAAGAAAACAGTACTTGCTTGCAGTGGTCTTACAGAGTCTGTGACAATTCACCCAGCAGATAGGGTTTGTGACAATGTCAATGTTGAGATGATTATATTTCCCTTTCTCTTACTTGAACCCAGTTCTGGTGCTCCCCCAAGCACAATAATGCTGGGTCCTGCCTGGTGCTCTCATTTACTTTCCTTGTGAATTTGTAAATGATCCTCAAGCATTATCATCTTCTACACTACAATAATGGCATAATCTACTTATCCTATCTCCCTGTTAAGGTTTTTGTAAAAAGAAGTGAAATTTAATTCAAAAAAGAATGTGAAAAATAAAAATGTATGTTTAAGTCTCATTAGAGTTTTAAAGTAGTTGGTCTAATCCATTTTACCACTAATAATTAATGTTAGCACAAAATATACTTCAAAAACATCCTAATGTTTTTATTAATGACACAATTGTGAACAGTTAGTGAAATATTATGCTTACTCTGCTTTATAGAATATAAACTCTTTACCATTAACATATGGTAATGTACAGTGAAAAAAAAAACTATTTTTTACTAGGATATTATTGCTAAATGTTTAATATATCAATTGATTTCGCTCAGCCAGTCAAACAGCCATTTAGAATGATCCTTGCCTCCTCCTATTTAGCAATAGGATTCATAAAGCTAAAGGCATAAAATGGTATCCCAGAAGTAATGAATCAATGAATAAAGAGAACTTCAGAATTAGAGTCATCATGAAAACAGAGCTCCATATTTAGACTCTGGATATTGGTCCAGAAATACAATCTTGTCTGATACAATTTAGAATCATGAACGGGTAGTTTCTTGGGACTCTATTCCTTTATTTGATTCTAAAGAATCTAGTTTATTGATCACTGCACAAGCAGTAGGATTCTTAGATGTCTCAGTGAGTGCCCATGGAATTGATGTAGCATGGAATTCCCTAATACAACTTGAAAATCCATGTATACCATGGCCTGCAAACAGGACACCTGGTCTGTCCCTTTAAGTCACCTGCCCTGTAAGTTAGTGATGCTCCATTCTCTGTCCCATAGCAGAGACAAGTCAATGGCAAAGAGCACAAGGGCTCTGTTTGAACCTAACCTTCCTACACTTCTCTCTGTTCTACCTCTTACCCTTCTATTACTATTTCACACTTCCTTCATCTGCTGTTTTTTTGTGGGGAGACCTTAGAAATCTCATGCTGAGAAACTTATTGGTAGAGAGCCTTTTCTACCTACTGGTGCATCTTGAAACAATCTCTTGTCTCTGAGCCATAGCCCTATTTGGGGATCACTTTGCAGATCACTTTGCCTACACTAAGTCACAGTCACAATGCACACTCTATAAACTGAAGGAAACTTATGTTTTACATTGATGGATATTGAGAACTATTAGAATAAAAGTATTATTTACAATATTGTCTTATTGTAACATCAAAGCTAGATAACATCTTTATTTGTGTTTAGTTCTTTTCCTAATGAGTTTACCTCAAAAGACATGTTTCTAATACCTCCGGGAAAGTAGGAAGGAAAACCCAATCTCCACTTTGTACACTAAAGTGCTACAGATCTGATGACCACTCATGCTATACACAGGATTGAGGAAACAACATTTTGATAACTGTTTTGAGTTCCAGATTTACAAAGGAAATAACACAGAATCCAGGAAGCTACTATTGTCCTTCCCTTTATCTCCATGTGACTTTGAGGAAGATTTGAAATATTTGTGTTATTTTATTTTTCTAATCTAGAAACAAGAGTAATAATGTCCAACTTTCTCACTGCTCAGGGTTGTTGTAAAGGAAAAGGTAAAACACTATTTGCAAATATCCTTTGTAAAGTCATTCTATATGTCATGACTTGCTGAAGAACTCTCTAGAAAACAACAATTGGGGTCTCAAAACACCTTATTTATTTCTGCTAACACAGGAGAGCTAGAGGAATTGACCCTCAACACTACTCAAACTTTGTGATTAGATGACAATATGACCTTCCAATAAAGAAATATTTAGCTTTCTCTTCTCTGTTGATATCCTTGTACACACCCAACTCTTTATAGCCACAGAATTAGTTTTAATATAAATTCACTACTTTGCTAGCCTATTATTACTATGGAATCAATACATGGGAGCATTGGTTGATTTATAGGACCTATGTATTAATAGGCCACATACTTTAAATATATAAATATAATGATTTATTACAGTGCACATCCCAAAGGTCAGGTAAAATAAACACAGAGAATGGGATTCCAGGATAAACTGAGTCTGTGGTATAGGATGAACTGAGAATTGATGCCTCAGGAAACAGTGCCTCTTCATTGAGATTCCTGCACCCCAAGCCTTGAGCTCCCACTTCTTTACCTGGTTCCCTTTTCAATGCTGTGGTGGAAGCTTCAGGGGGTCCATCTCCACTAGTAAATTCTTCAAAGTCCTGACTGTCGATCACTGCACAAAGAAGATAAAAGCACACATTGTCTTGGGGTGAAGCCACGGAGACCACTGAGTGGAAATACCTTCGTGAGAGCAATAGGAAGACATAGAAGCTAAGTTAACTCAGGTCCCTCTGGTCTGTGGCCAAAGTGTGTGACCTTCGGGTTGTTCTAGACCCTACCAGGGAAGTCATGAAGTTCATGGAAAGAGTGCAGCTTTGCCCAACCTGAAGCACAATTCTTACACCCAACCTCACTACACCTGCAATCCCCATGCTCATTGTATATCAACTCTATCTCTTACCTCTGTCTCTTACCTCGACTCTCTAATATCTCCACCCTCATTCTATCTTTTTCTTTCTTTGATTCATTCCAAACATATCTAAATATTTATTAAGCTAGAAAGATGGATCAAAGAGAAGTATACCTACATAAAGGCTATCTTTTAAAAATGGAATCAAATTATATACTGTTAATTTTTAATGTACTTATTTTTATATTTAACTCAATGTATTGGGATGTCATTGCTTTACAGAACTGTACAGGATTCAAGTGTACAACTGAAAAAGACATTATTTGCACACTGTACCAATCGCCCATCATCCCAAATAAAGTCTCTTGGTTCTGCTCATTTTTGGCAATTATGCTGGTTTCTGACAAAAGTGTCTCTTTTTACCTCTCCTTCTCTTTGTGTTTTTTCTCAGATCTTTATTTGTGTTTAGCTCTTTTCCTAGTGGGTTTCCCTCAAAAGACATGTTTCTAATGCCTCTGGGAAAGTAGGAAGGAAAACCCAATCTCCACTTTGTACACTGTATGTGTTTTTTTTTCTCATCTCCTTTCATGAATATCTTCATTTTCTGAAAAATTTCCTTTACCTCAATACCTTCCTCTCTCTGAATATAGAAATATACACTCTGATATCAACACTTAAATTTACCATTTCTGTTTTTGATATTTTTTCAAATTACTGGGGACGTGTTTCTGGACCTCATTGCATAAGGCCCTTGTTCCCTCCACTCTCTACCTATAACCAAGGCCACCATTACTATCTCCAACAACCCTGTTGACCTGTCTCAGACCTTTGCCTGGTACGAGGATGCACCTCACCCATTCTTTCAGTCAGTCTTACCTATTATGTCAGATGCCTGGTTACAGTCAGTCCTTGCTTGGGCTTCACATTTAACTCCTGAATTTAAAAATGGCTTTTCCTCCTTTACATCCACTGGGTCTACAGAGCAGGAATTGGTTTGGGTTCCATGGTGGAGTAGCTCTGCTCCTGGAAGAAATGTAATAAATGAAGAATTTAATTTGCCTCCCCTAAGGGAGTGAGCACCCTCACAACAATCAACAAGCCCTTCTCCCTGTAGTTCCACTGCAGGGGAATGCTCATCCATCTTCTGCTCAACCTTGTCCTTTCTCTGTGGCTCTCTTAAAAACAACAAGAGCATATTTTTATTATATTTTGAGATTGAGAGTGAAAGAGAGAGAATAGAGTTATATAAACTTCAGTGAGAGAGGAACATCATGGATCAGCTGCTTCCTGCATACACTTCTACAGGACATGGAGCCCATAACCCTGGCCTATACCCTGATGGGGAATCAAACCAGTGACCTCAGGGTGCATGTTAGGATGCTCAGCCAACTGAGCCACTCTGGCCAGAGTTTCTGTTTTCTTTTGGTCCCCTATATTATGCAGAACATTCCGTTTCTTCTTTTAAATGTAGCTCATGGATTTGTGTTCATGTCTGTAATTATATAATACTAGAGGCCCGTTGCAGAAAGATTCCTGCAAGAATAGGGCTTTCAGCGGGCTTTCCTCCTGCCACCACCACCTCTCCCCCTCCCCATGCTTTCTCTGCCACCTCTGCCCTCTATCCCCCACCCCAGGCTTTTCCTCCCACCACTGCGCCACTGCCAATCCCCCTGCACTTTCCTTCCCATTTCCACCTCTGCCCTGCACTTTTCTTCCTACTACAGCTGCCCTGTGCTTTTCCTTCCTTCCAGCCTTCTCTGCCTTCCACCCTAAGCTTTCCCTCCTGCAGCTCCCAACCCCCCTGTGCTTTCCCTCCTGCCATTGCTGCCCCATGCTTTCCCTTCTGCTGCCCTTCACTTTTCACCTCCTGCTCTGCAGCCTCACACCACCACTCGCCCCATCCTGGCTTTCCCTCCCACAGCTGCCCTGCTTTCTGCTTTCTTCTTGCTTCTATGTATGCTGTCTTCAGTCTTCACTCCTCCCTACCTCAGTGTATGCAAATTAACCACCATCTTTGTTGGGTTAATTTGCATACCTGCTCTGATTGGCTGTGATAATAGTGAAAATATGGTCAATTAGTATTTTTCTTTTTTATTATTGTAGACTAGAGGCATGGAATTCCCTAATACAACTTGAAAAATCTTGAAAATCCATATACACTATGGCCTGCAAAAAAGATATCTGGTTGGTCCCTTTAAGTCAGCTGGCTTGTAGGTTAGTGATGTTCCATTCTCTGTCCCCATAGCAGAGACAAGTCAATGACAAAGAGCACAAGTGCTCTGTTTGACCCGTACCTTCCTACATTTCTCTCTGTTCTACCATTTACCCTTCAATTCCCATTTCACACTTCCTTCATCTGCTGTTTCTTTGTGGGGAGACCTTGGAAATCTCGTGCTGAGAAATTTGTTGGTAGGGAGCCTCTTCTACCCCCTGGTGCTCCTTGAAATAATCTCTTGTGTCTGAGCCATTGTCCTATTTTGGAATCACTTTTTAGAGTACTTTGTCTACACCAGCGGTCGGGCAAACTCTTTAGTCAACAGAGCCAAATACCAACAGTATAATGATTGAAATTTTTTTTGAGAGCAAAATTTTTTAAACTGAAACTATATAGGTAGGTACATTGTTATTAACTTAATTAGGATACTCCTAAGCTGGCCTTTGCTAAAAAATCAAGGGGCCGAAGAGCTGCATGTGGTTCACAAAGTAATTTGCCAACCACTTGCCTTCACTAAGTCACAATCACAATGTGCACTCTATAAACTGAAGGAAACTTAGTTTTACATTGATTGATATAGAGAACTATTACAATAAAAGTATTATTTACAATATTATCTTATAACATCAAGACTAGGTCACATCTTTATTTGTGTTTAGCTCTTTTCCTAGTGGGTTTCCCTCAAAAGACATGTTTCTAATGCCTCTGGGAAAGTAGGAAGGAAAACCCAATCTCCACTTTGTACACTAAAGTGCTACAGATCTGATGACCACTCATGCTATACACAGGATTGAGGGAACAACATTTTGATAACTGTTTTGAGTTCCAGATTTACAAAGGAAATAACACAGAATCCAGGAAGCTACTATTGTCCTTCCCTTTATCTCCATGTAACTTTGAGGAAGATTTGAAACATTTGTGTGATTTTATTTTCTCATATAGAAAGAAGAGTAATAATGGCCATCTTTCTCACTCCTCAGGGTTGTTGTAAAGGAAAAGGTAAGACACTATTTGCAAAGATCCTTTGTAAAGTCATTCTATATGTCATGACTTGCTGAAGAACTCTCTAAAATACAACTTTTGGAGTTTCAAAACACCTTATTCATTTCTGCTAACACAGGAGAGCTGGGGGAATTGACCATCAACACTATTCAAACTTTGTGATTAGATGACAATATGACCTTCCAATAAAGAAATATTTAGCTTTCTCTTCTCTGTAGAAATCACTGTTTAAACCCAACTCTTTATAGCCACAGAATTAGTTTTAATATAAATTCACTACTTTACTAGCCTATTACTACTATGGAATCAATACATGGGAGCATTGGTTGATTTATAGGACCTATGTATTAATAGGCCACATACTTTAAATATATAAATATAATGATTTATTACAGTGCACATCCCAAAGGTCAGGTAAAATAAACACAGAGAATGGGATTCCAGGATAAACTGAGTCTGTGGTATAGGATGAACTGAGAATTGATGCCTCAGGAAACAGTGCCTCTTCAGTGAGATTCCTGCACCCCAAGCCTTGAGCTCCCACCTCTTTACCTGGTTCCCTTTTCAATGCTGTGGTGGAAGCTTCAGGGGGTCCATCTCCACTAGTAAATTCTTCAATGTCCTGACTGTCGATCACTGCACAAAGAAGATAAAAGCACACATTGTCTTGGGGTGAAGCCATGGAGCCACTGAGTGGAAATCCCTTCATGGGAGTAGTTGGAAGACATAGAAACTAGCTTACTCAGGTCTCTCTGGCCTGTGGCCAAAGTGTGTGACCTTCAGTTGTTCCAGGCCCTATCCGGAGATCATGACGTGCACGGACAGAGTGCAGCTTTGCCCAACCTGAAGCACAATTCTTAAATCCAACCTCACTACACCTGCTATCCCCACGCCCATTGTATTTCAACTCCCATCTTCACTCTATCTCTTACCTCCACTCTCTAATATCCCCACCCTCATTCTATCTCTTTCTTTCTTTTATTCATTCCAAACATATCTAAATATTTATTAAGCTAGAAAGATGGGTCAAAGAGAAGTATACCTACAAAAAGGCTATCTTTTAAAAATGGCATCAAATTATATATTGTTAATTTTTAATGTACTTATTTTTATATTTAACTCAATGTATTGGGATGACATTGCTTCACAAAACTGTACAGGATTCAAGTGTACAATCGAAAAAGACATTATTTGCACACAACACCAATCACCCATCACCTCAAATGTAGTCTCTTGATTCTGCTCATTTTTGGCAATTATGCTGGTTTCTGGCAAAAGTATCCCTTTATACCTTTCCTTCTCTTTGTGTATGTGTTTTTCTCATCTCCTTTCATGAATATCTTCATTTTCTGAAAAATTTTCTTTACCCCAATAGCTTCCTCTCTTTGAATATAGAAACATACACTCTGATATCAACACTTAAATTTACCATTTCTGTTTTTGATATTTTTTCAAATTACTGGGGACATGTTTCTATTGACCTCGCTGCATAAGGCCTTTGTCTCCTCCCCTTTCTACCTCTACCAAGGCCACCATTACTGTCTCCAATGGCCCTGTTGATATGTCTCAGATCCTTGCCTGGTATGGGGATACACCTCACCCATTCTTTCAGTCAGCCTTACCTATTATGTCAGATGCCTGGTTACAGTCAGTCCTTGCTTGGACTTCACGTTCAACTCCTGAATTTAAAAATGGCTTTTCCTCCTTTATATCCACTGGGTCTACAGAGCAGGAATTGGTTTGGGTTCCATGGTGGAGTAGCTCTTCTCCTGAACAGAAATGTAATAAATGAAGAATTTCATTTGCCTCCCCTAAGGGAGTGAGCACCCTCATGGCAGTCAACAAGCACTTCTCGCTATAATTCCACTTCAGGGGAAAGCTCATCCATCTGCTACTCAAGCCTGTCCTTTATGCCTCTCTTAAAAACAACAGCACCAGGGAGAATCCAAGATGGCTGCTCGGGTAGGCACCTAGCCGCGCCGCATGCAACAATTTCAACAAAATACAACTAAAATATAAAATGGACATCACCCAGAACTACAGGAAAGTTGACTGACTGGAAATTCTACAACAAGAAGCAAGGAGAAAACCAGAAGGAAGCGCGGAGGAGCTGGAAAAGCCTAAGGTACGGAGACACGCGGTGTGCGGAGAGGACGGAGCCAGAGAGGAGGGAGGCGGAGTGCCTGGATGGCGTTCCCTAGCGGGAAGGAGATAAAACTCCGACTGTGCTGGCCCCCATTCTGACTGCTCTGAACCCCAGGCCTAGGCCAGACCCCGGGGACCCAGGCTCACACAGAGGGAGCCGGGCTGAAAGGTGGAACCCCGGGGAAGAGGCGAAAGGAGGTCCCGGCGGCGCCGCGCAGAGAAGGGACGGTTGGCTATGCCGCGGGATTGCCTGGTGGGAAGGAGACAGGGGCTCCAGTCTGCTCTGAACGCCACCTCCAACTCCACTTCCAACTGAACTGAACCCCAGTTTCGGGACCATTGGGGGAGAGACTAGACTGTTTGGTAGCAGGCGATCGAGGGCGCCTTTCTCTCAGAGGCGCTTGCAAGGAGTACTGAAGGACCCTGAGTTTCAGGAGTCGCATAGGGCAGGGCTGACGAAAGCCAAAGCTGTAGGCTCCACCCTGAAATCCCGCCCCATCTGGAAAGCTGCCTGTGAAAATGCCTAAACCAAATAGATCACAAACGAAAGAAATGGAGGACAAAAAGCGACTGGATATAGAGTTCAAAACCACACTTATAAGGTTTTTCAAGAGTTTCCTAGAAAAGGCCGATAAAATAAATGAGACTTATGAGGATATGA